TCGTGGATTGGGTACCAGGTTTAGGGCTTAGGGAAAGGTTACTAGAAATAAAAGTGGAAGTCGTAATTTCAGTATAGGTTAGACATTTAGGCAAAGGGTCACAATTAGAGTTTGGGACAGTTCCAGGAGAAACAGGGTTTGGAAGTGTAGTAGAGGTGTGGCATACAGATGTATGCTCTTTGTGTTGAGGGTTTTTTAATGAGATAGGGGTATGGGGGAAAAAAGAGGTTGGAGGAGATTTAGGACTAGAGGTGTTTGGTTGGTTTACGCTGGAGTATTCAATATTAGTTTGTAGGCGAGGAAGAATAAAGTCGGTAATAAAGAAGGGGAAATTACAGGATAGGGTAACGATTCCTTTGAAGGAAAGGTGTAAACTAAGAAATGTCTCCTGCTTTCAAGTTTCAAGTTAGTGTTGTAAAGGAAAGACAATCGTGGGTTACGTCGACATAGATCATGTGCGAGAGCGTTGAATTTGTCAATTTTGTGATTTAAAGTGTCAGTAGTACAGACTTGTCTTAGAAAGAGATTATCAGTATGTCTATTAACGTCACGGTAAATAACGCTTGAGAAACATACGCGAAGGTCAGTACGGAGAGTCAAAACATGTAACAGTAAGGCTTGTAGATCATTAAAACAGTCATAAGCAGTCGTTGAGTTCCGTTTGAGGTCGTTAGTTCCAACATGAGGAATTACGTATTTTACAGTCTGTGGCAGTAAAGATATAGATTCTAAAAGGTCAAGTGAAGTGGCTCCACTAATGGATTTAATTAAAACATGTTAGTCTTTAACGTAAAGAAGTTGTTGATACAGGTACTTAATAATATAATCCCTAAAAATGGCAATGTAAGGTAAAAGAAGAGGTCCGTGGTCCATGAGTGGAAAATCAATTTTGATAAAAGAGTTAGCACAAAGGATCACATATAAATGTAATAGACTTAAAATAAGACCCAAAACTCGAGCGCTTTCTAATAGTTCACTATTCTTCTTCTGAGTTTTGGGTCTTATTTTAAGTCTTTTACACTTTATATGTGATCCTTTGTGCTAACTATTTTATCAAAATTCACTTGTCAGGAAATTGACTACGGACTACTATTAAGCCCCGGAAACTTAGTACATTCATCACTAAGTAACCACCTAATTCTACACTGAATAATAGTAAATAACATTTACCATAAAAGGTGATATCAAAGAGCTCGCCAAAATGATAGTTGAACTTTCTTCTGCTAATCCAATGGAAGCCATGATACTAGGTTCACACAAAGAAAAATTATAGAAAAGTAACATTATACTAGCTGCAAATAAAGGCAAAGATAATAATATTATATTAAGTGTAAATTACGATAGAGGTAAGCAATGGAAGCCATGATACTAAGTTCACACAAAGAAAAATTATAGAAAAGTAACATTATACTAGCTGCAAATAAAGGCAAAGATAATAATATTATATTAAGTGTAAATTACGACAGAGGTAAGCAAAGGAAGACATTGTAGTAAATGTATATGAAGGAAATATAAATAACTTTTTAAATTGAATCTATTTTGCTTGCTTACCTAAAACAAAACATAGATTTAAAAAGCGAACATGTTTGAAGTAGTATACATAATTATATTCACTGGTTTTCTTACATTGACAGTTATAGTTCTCAGCTTTACCGTAATTTTCTAATTATAAACCACACCTTCTACAAGTCATCATTCCCAAAAAACAAATGAACAAAAATACAAATTCGTGTATTAACCGCATCTGAGTATAAATCGCTGCTGTAGAACAGCTGTTGTCGAGTTACTGGTAGACTAACATGAAAACATATCACATATAGTACACGTGCTTTTTCATAACAGTTATTTCTTTCTACTAAAAAAAATAAAATAAAATATGAAAATAAAAGAAGAAATATTGCAATACTATATTATATTACGTTGTTTTTTATACAGAAAATTGTCTATTTCGCCTCCAGTTGTAAACGTCTTTCTCGCGGGGATCACCTCGACAAGCTTGGTTGAATTGTTATTACTTAGTTTGAAAGCCAGAAAAATTATAACAGTTATAGGACATTGTTTGCTTTTTGTGTATTTTATTCTGTGTTCTTAGTTCATTATTTAATCAAACAACAATTATTTAGTGGGTTTGAGCCGAAATGCATGATCGAAGCGTATTACGACGTTGCCGGCAAACTTTTCATGCAATTTAACCAAAACGTTATCAATAACATAAAATTTGTAGAGCTTTTTCTAAACAATATATTAATGTATAAGTCGCACTCATGTATAAACTGTATGTTATGGTTTTGTAAATAAAAGTTGTGCATAAACCGCGGTTTATAATTGGAAAATTACAGTAATAGAATGGTATATGATAGATAATATAACCATTGTTCCCAGGGTGTATTTGGATGTTGAAATTTATCACGTAAATGTGCATCAGTTGAAAACGTAGTTAAAATATCTTGGGGGAAACAAAAAGGCTTGAAGAAAGACCTAGACTTAAAAGATATGTTTAGTTTCCTACAATGTGTTAGGCTGATCAGTGCAAATTGCAATGGCAGTTTCAATGAATTTATAATTCTTGTTATGTTCACACATTTTGTAATGTATGTCTTTATTTATTATTAAGATTAATCTGTCTTATATTTTTCGATTCGATTGTACAGAGATAATAATATATAGTTCAAGTTTATAACTATATCATGATCATCATTTGCACCAATGTATCAGATCATCGTTTTGTACATTTATAAATGTATATATATATTTGTAAAGTTTTATCATGTGATAAAAGAAAACTAGGCCAGCTTGATTAAAATATGATTTCAATAACGGATGTTTAAGAATAATTATAATATATGGAATCTGTCTATTTAGCTGGTTTCAGATTATAACGTTTCTAACGATTTATAATAAACATTGTAGTAGAATAATTATTATTTAATTATAGTGCCATAAAAAACTTCTAGCTTGCATAGGAGCAAACTTTATTTTACTATTATATATTTAAACTTATTTACTTTTCGCTTTTGAAATGTGTGAAACAAACCGCAAAAACCTCAACAGAAGTGCGAGGACTTGAGTTCCTAAGAGATTATTATTTGCTGGATCTTACACCTATATGGATATTAATAAACTGTGAATGTGCACAACAAACTTCCACATTTTGTGTTTTACGTGTATTACACAAACATACAGATTTTCTAAAAATATTATATAAACAAATTTGAACAAATCATGGATCTCAAAATATAGTTAATGCAACGTAAATAATTCTTTGTTAAGCTAAACAATACTAGAAAATATTCACAAGACTCGAGAAGACTTTATAGTTTTATTTCCTTAATTGTTTCGTGGTATTGAAATGAACAGCGCTGCTAAAATTAAGTCTCCTTTTTCAGTCCAAGATTTTTCATTTGTGTTCTTTTACCGATAAAGGCTTCAGCACTCATTAATTTCATTAGTTACAAAAGCTCCTTGATATGGTGTCTTCAGATTTTTCTTCCAGATTCATAAATCTTTAAAATAGTTAAATATTTCTATTTAAGTTCTTTTATAAGAATTTGAAAATCACTGGCCGTTATCGATCTGATAATCGGGTTATCATGTTAGCTAGACTTGACTCAGTGCTAGACTATCTGCTAAAATCAGGCTCATGTTTGACAAATCCATCTTTCACGGGCATATCTATAAGGCGTGCATCAGTTGTTTGTCATGATTTTGGAGTATTTATTTTTCAGACTTCTTTCCAATAAAGTATTGTGTCATGTAGGTTTTAGATTTTCACAATCTCAAAATATACACTGGAAACTCGATGATCAGATGATGTAAGTGGGTGGGGGATATACTATATCAGCTGCTATTTCAGATATATATAACTTACGAAAATTCTTCTCCTTCAGAAGTACGTAGAATCTTATAGTCTCATCTCTTTCAGAATTATTCGAACACAACCATCTTTTCAATAGTTTAGTAATTTGTTGTTGTATTAGTGATGAAGCTGTGAATTACAATTCTTAGTATACACCGTTAGTGCTTAGATATGTAGATTGACTAGTTACTTTTCCATATTCACTCAAGTTTTAAAACAAAGGAAATTAAAAAAATTTGTTTACCTGGCTAGGCTAATGAACATGATAAAGTTAAAAGTCAAACCAGCATTGCCACGAATACTTTCAACGATCTGAAAAACACAAGAACATGTGATCGAAAAAAATATTATTATGGAGATAATTTATATGTATTTGTATATATATATATATATATATATATAAAATATAAATACATTGTTTATTTCTATATAATATAACGCTGTTTAATTTGTATTTGTATTATATATCCATAACAAGGCTACTAAAGTTTATTTGTTGTTATGCACGAATCTATACATTAGGTTGTCTGTGCTATGCCCACCAGAAAGATCCAACCCTGAAATTTAGCGTTATAGGCCTTCAAGCTTACTGCTGAGCCCATGATACATAGCTTCAGAGGCTTGTTAGGCATATGTACTATTTTTCCTGTCAAATTATATGTCTTTTCACATACTCTTCATACAAACTACGAATACTTTAGAGAAATAGAAACATGAAATTACAAATATCCAACCCTATTTTCATTACCATCCGACTGTGCATTCGTTATTACAGAAAGGCAGTCTCTTCAGGTTGTAAGACATGATTCCTCATGTAACGTAGACAAGATATATTTGTGTTTCATAAGAAAAGTAGCGGTACACAAATTCGTATAAGTTATTGTAATAACACCTTTTCTTTCTGAATTTATTGGAATCAATTTTTACTAACTTAATAATTTTTTCGTCTTTTGGAAACCGACCTGAGCAACAGTCAATCTTGCTGTCACTGTTTCAAGAAACTGGTGTTGCATCGCTCTAAAAGTCGCTAAAATGTGGGGACTGTCCCTGCAGAAAAACGAAAATTATGTCTATAGCTTATTACAACTTATCCAGTCCAATCTCAATAACTATACGACTTGCTTTTCTTTCATTTATCTTATTATTTGAAAAACAAGTTGTATAACTTGCAGTGTTTAATGATTCAGAAGGTTTGTAAATAGAACTTATGTAGCTCATACAACATTAAAATGGCTCCTCTCGTGAAAACAGTTATTGTAGAGTGAAAAAATTTCCTCACTAAGGTTTGATTAAAACAATCACTTTTAAATACTCATGTAGTATGTGTTGTACTTCAAACATTTCACTCTTAAACATATATTTAAGTAAATTCTAAGACAATTACAACGAATATCTTTCTGATGAAATGTAAAATTTAGATATAATTAAATTGATTTCTAGAGCAAAAAATCTGATATGTAGATCTAAAATATTTCTAGTAGTTCAACAACATAAAAATACAAAAACAATCTACTCAAGCGTCGACTGCTGGTAAGTAGTTTAAAACTTTAAGTGCAGCCTGATCACAGACAACTAAAACAAATCACAACTTGAGGATCTTTGAAGACGATATTTTAAACAGTCTGTAAATGGACTCATCCTAGAGTTGATATTTCAATCTGTTTGAAAGTGGCATTTAATGAAAAGTTGTGCATCTCCGACCAAAACCTGTTGACACGTTCATGAACAAACGCATAAACACAATCACATTTATGTTAGTAGGTTTAATTGTTGAAAAAACAATCCAGATAATTTTCTTTTCATGTTTAATATCAATTTTGATAACCTTTCTATAGCTGTTACCAAGTCAATACACACTTGGAACTAAACTTGGGTGTACAATAAATATGAATTAAAATAACTTTAACTGTGATAGCTCACCCTTCTTTGTTGTCCGGACAATCTGATTGGTTACGATAGAACACAGAACACGACATAACTCTGAGGAAAAGATAAATTCCTTATTAATAATGTAGTTCTAACCTAATTTCAGAATTAATCATAACACAGAAATATTTAAATGGCAATCATAATTTTAACACTATGTATTTATAGACAGATAGAAACATTTGTTTTGTAAATTTCTTAATTCTGACTGTAATATATTAAGCAAGTTTTCCTTGGATCAGACTTTAAATACAACTAAATTCAGGAACAATATATTTATTATCATAAAAGTTTCGATGATTCACCATCATCAAGATGTTCTTGCACTTATTCTAATACATCACTAATGAAAGGACAGTTTAATAAGCGATTTGATCAAGCTAAGCTTTTTAATGAGTTTCTATTTTAACCATTTTGAAATGATAGACTAGAGAGAAGGCAGCTAGTCAACACTACCCACCCCAACTCTTGGGCTACTCTTTACCAATGGAAAGTAGGCTTGACCGCCCACACGGCTGAAAGGGCTAGCATGTTCGGTGATGGGATTAAAACCCGGAACCCTCAGATTGCAAGTCAAGTGCCTTAACCACCAAGGCATGCCAGGCCTTAAAAGTATTTCAATTACAACCATGTATTACTGAGAATTTTTAAACAAAAATCAGATATTTCAGACAATATTTAAACAGCAATAAAAAATATAAAATACACAACATATATTTAAATAACCAGACAGTGTTAAAAAACTTTAAACAAACACCAGGTATTCCTGCTCATTTCAAGTGTACACTGAATAAAAAGGGTCTACTTTGAAAAACGTTTGCTTTATCGTGTGATTTTTTTTTGTTGTAAACAAAAACAAGACATGTTGATTTAAATTAGAACCAGACATCTTTAGAATATGCAAATCAGCAAGTTACATGGCAAGCATAGCCGATACAAAGTCATGGTAGGATGTATGTGTATCAGAACTACATTTTGACATTCTTAGGCACTGTGATGACACAAAAAATTGATCGCGTTTATCAAGGGGACGTAACAGCCCTTTCTGACATAAAAGGCTCATGGGATAAAATCATAAAGACGTGTTTAGATTGAAGATTTAGATTTTCCAAGATGAGGATATTCATTATACTTAGTGACATTGAAGAACAGAGGAATCTGAATCCGTTTCGGACACCAGGACCTTTCTGATAGATATCCGTAACAAGTCCTACCCCAACTGTAGTAAGTAAACTGCGTCGTCTTATAATAGGTGAGAATCCACGGATACAAAGGTCAGTGAGCAGAAGACATCCTCGTGTCTTAGGCAATAATACGCAACAACATAATCAAGAAGGATCTTTGTCTGGAAACATGGCCAACAGAGTGTTGGTTCAACAAGATAAGGTGTCCAGTGATGCCTCTCGTTGAATCGTCGCATACGGATAGATATTCATGTTTTTTTCATACGAAGACGTACGGCTAAGTCACCAGACGCAGCGCTATAGATTTCTGTGCGATCGGACTGTTGAAAGAACGCTAAGTAGTCACTTAGGTGAGATTTCTTTAAGAGCAAAGCCATATTGAGAAATATGCTGTGCCATTTGCGAGGAATCGAACCCCAGACTATAGCGTTGTAAGTCCGTGAACTTACCGCTGTCCTACTGGGGGATAAAGGCGTACAACTAAATGGATAATGGAAGGCCAGCACGGAAGGTTGATATGTTTTGGACAGGGCAGCCTATTGATGGAGCCTAAAAACTATAGTCCAGGGCTATTGTCAAGATGCACTGTCGTCAGATAAACCATGATCGGCCATGGCAAAAAGAATTGTAACGACGTAGTGTGGCCGCAAAATCGTTTTAATATAAGGTACTCAATCCTGAATGACCGGCATGGCCAGGTGATTAGGGCGCTCGACTCGCAATCTGAGGGTCGCGGATTCGAATCCCCGTCA